AAGTTTAAAAATTAAGAAAGATTTGATAACAGTGATTGAACAATCCTATTAATTCTCAGCTAATAAATGCAATCCTGCACACTAAGCTAACATGGGAAACATGCTTGAAGTTATACAGGATTTTAGCATCAGCATGTTAGCAGGTAGCAGATAGTGGCAACCCTCGGTTTCATCTACCCGTATTATAACAGTATATAAAATTGTCAAGCCAAACATTTATAGAGTTTTCTGCACAGATCATTAAAACCTCAACTATTGAACAAAGTAGACTGTGAATTTTAATAATAATTCATCAATAATGTGTTTATGGAGTTCCTAAATTGGTTTTAAAGGAACGTGGTAGTGTCTTCTTCCACATGACTTTCCAGTGAGAAATTGATCTCATTCTGGTTTGTAAAACTATTTTTACCCTTTAGAAAAAACTGTTTGACTATATAAAGTTAAGTCTCTACTGTTAAAGCTGCCAAAAGGGGCTCAGAGGTGTAGTGAGCTGCTGTTTGTTCATGGTTTATTTGAGGCAAAGTGCAGCAGTTTGTCTGCAGCAATCAATGAGTTGCAAAGCACACAAATGTTTCTCCAATCATGAAAATCATAAGGGATTTGTTTCATTATCAAACAAAAAGCAAAACTCACGGTCAATCATGGATAGAGGGATCAATCACTGAAATAGTTCTGTTATTTCTCATTTTTAATTTATAGTTAAATTGATTCACTCGTATATCTCCTGCTGTTCGGGACACCACCACTGGGTGTCGGCACATCACCACCGATCACAGCTAAACTACGGGCCAGCTGGGCTCTGCAATCAATTCATTCATTCATTAAAAAGTGTTTTTACTCGGATTTTAAATCTTACTGCAACAAATCTTACTTGCGATGCAGACAACTGCAACAATTTCAAATATCACGAACAGACATCTTTCATCATCAAAAATATTTGCTCAAAATAAGCTTAGTTTACATGCGCTTAAAGAAACACGAACTTCTTTAATATGTATTACATTCTTCTTGTTTTCACTTATTCCATTATCAAATATTCCAATATGACAATAGTCACATTTTTATTTTGGACATGCATTTTTAATTTGAAATCTTTGTCTTGAATAAAAGCTGATTGAAGGCGGGCAGTGTCTCCGGTGAACTGTTTGTTGTATTTTGAAATAAAAACAGTGAGAACTCTTCGTTTATTCTGCTCTCCAATGCTGTAGTTAAATATCCAATGCAACGTACAATAAGTGCATTCAACCATAGGGTAAATGTTAGCAGGACTGCTTGGAGAGTTGAACACGCAGACTTTATTAAGGCGCCGGTGGGGGGTTTGAAATCAGTTTACAAGATCAAAATAAAAAGCATTCTCCCGGATTTACTTTTTGCTGAAGGAAGATAAAACTGCAGTGGAAAAAGGGTGGGAAATAGATACTGCACAGTCACAGTCCGGACATCTTGGCCTGAGCCAATGAGCAACCTGCACACACTGCTTCGAAACAACTGGACTGCTGGGTTGGCAGTTGGACAAAGACACTGTCAATTATTAGAAATGATAACGAGGCACACGCATGCAGAAGTAACTTTGCTTTAATGAATCCCAACATTTTCCGTTTGACAACCCATGCTTTTCTATTAAACACCAAGGGCACAATTCAATTTGAGAATCTTAAAAAAAAAAAAAAAGTATATATATTTAGGAGTGATGATTATGTAATAGTCACACATGGAGTTCATTGGACACATATTTTATAAGTGGACCAGGTACTTCTTTACACTTTATGCAGCATGGTCCCTTTCAGAGGTCCATGTTATTATTACGCTATTACTGCTGTTGTTGCATTGTTTTTGAAGGTTGAGCTAGTACTTATTACGGTAGATGTATTTTGATATGGAATAATGAAAAACTGTACAGAGTAAGATGATGATTTGACTTCATATGTTTTGTATGACAAAAGTAAAGCCTGACTATTCTTTCATCCATATAAGGAAGGTGTTATGGTTTGTCTCCGACACCAGACAAGGTTTATGTTCAGACAAAAACACGGCGTAGTTTATTTCACAAGAACTAAAGAGCGTAAGGTTCCGAGGAACAAACAAAAGCTGCCTCCTTAATTGGCAGGGGAAAACAAAAGAAACAACTCAAAATGTCTCATAGTCCATTGGGGTATTTGGGCATTCACAGTTCAACAAAAAAAAGGAAAACTCACTCTCAATAATCCACAGGGAAAGTTCCTCGTAGGTATCCACAGGAAAATATCCAAACAAGCAGTCCAGGGGACGAACGACCTATCTCTCCGGAAACAGGGGACGAACCGCCTATCTCTCAGAGGCACGGACTCGCGACGAGCCACTGGCAGTCCTCCAACTTACCTCCCCGTAGAACGAGCTGCAGCTGCGTAATAAACAGAGCGGCTTCAGGTGTGATCCGGTGAGCGCCTGGCGGCGGGGACGAGCCGTAGCCGTAACTCTCTGGCTGGCCGAGCCGTAACAGAAGGAAAAAGTACCATAATATGGAAGTATGAGGTAGATTTAATTGCAAACCATACACACACTCTAAAGAATTTCACCGTAAATTAACGGTAACTTAATGCCAGGAATTTACCATTATTTTACGGTAGAATAGTGTAAATGTTTTTTACACTACGTTACTGTCAAATGGATTATAGTAAACTGGCGTGAACTTTAAAGTCAATTAACGGTGAAATACTGGCAGCGGATGCCAGTAATTTGCTGTTTTTTATGGTACACTGCCGTGGAATACAGTATGTTACCGTATAATGGATTACTATATGTTACAATAAACTTGAACTAATTTTACTGTGAATTACCTGCAATTTACTGGCAGTTGACGCTAGTAACTTACAGTTTTATTTACAGTGCCCTTCCATAATATACAGTATGTTGCCGTATATTTGTTACCATAGGATTACTGTTTTTGTGTTATAAATACCAGAATGTTACCGTTTACTTATAACCGTATACTTTTGCATTTGATTCCTCACAAATGAAAGAAAGACAACCAATCTCTTTTCGGCCATAGTGGTTGGATTTTATTAGATGCCTTTAAGACAAAAATGTTAGACATTTGTAACCAAGAACAAAACATAAAATATGCCACATGTATACAATAATAAAAAAAAGAATCATAAAATGATTAGGAACAAGCTAAACTAACTGCAACAATACGCTATGTAACACTTTCAATTGACCGCAGCAAACGGCTGGCGTCCTTAATCCAGTGGCTACTTACCAACGTTACTTGGAGAGACGAGGCAATGAGAAACTCCTCCGATGTTGAACTGCACTGACAGGTGTTCTGTATGAACTGAGATTACGCGGCTGACGTCACGTTCAGGAGCAGTCGGTCACGATTAACACTCAAATGTCTTTTAGGCGATGAACACTTTGAATAATACAAATATTTATAATCTTTACATTCAGGCCACTGGAACGACAGCGAAGGCGGTGCATGGGATAGGGAGGGTGTGCTGTGCAGCACAAAGTCAGCAGTTTGAATCCTGGCTGCTCCCTGTGCCAAGTCGAAGTGTCCCTGAGCAAGACCCCTAACCCCCGATTACTCCACATATAATTATGTCAAACTATGGGCGTTTTGGATAAAAGTGACGAAGAAGTGAAGCTGCATGTATAGTAATGTCCTGTAAGTCAAAGTCATCTCATTATGATGACTTACAGGACCTGTTTTTCAGTGGCTGACATGGGCTTCCATACATTAACCTAACAGATGTAGATGGATTGTGATTCACTGCACTTGTATGTGTATTTCCACCACTTCATAAAATATATGTAACATGCAGTTGAATTACGGTAGTCTGCTATTATTGTAAATTGACAGCTTTAACTGTTTATTCATGACATTGGCCGTTAATTTACAAGCAAGGCATGGAAATGTACCTGTATATTAGTTATTATGACATACTGTAAGATACCGTTAGAAATGCAACGTAAATTGACAGCAATTTGTTACAGTGCAGATACCTTGAAATACAGCAGAATTGAGCAGAACTTATGAAATAAGTAGACTAGGTACTCCTTTACACTTGCAGCATGGTCCATTTCAGAGGTCCATGGTTTTATAAACCTATAACTGCTGTTGTTGCGTTGTTATGGATGATTACGCTAGTACATAATACAGTAGATGCATTTTGATCTGGAATAATGCAAAATTGTATAAACAGTAAGATGAGGATTTGCATTCATATGTTTTGTATGTTAAAAGTAAAGCCAGACTGTACTTTCATCGATATGGGGAAGGAAAAAGTAGCTTAACATTTTGATTGCTGTCCTAAACACATTCATGCAAATAAAAATAACAAATCCCGGCAGCATAACATTATGGCTTCGAAGTGTTTTGATTCAACTGCTTTTGGTGTAACTGAATTAATACAAAGGCCACATGAACAGGGAGAGAAAAACCCCGCGGATGGAGAGGCACATTTAAAGCTACAACAGCGCAGCACTACCCCTAACCCAAGAACATCAGAACTTCTTGTTGTGCAGCTTCGCAACCAGCCGCAAATACTCTTTGATGGGAGTGCAGTCTGGTTTCGCCGCTCACCTCCTGCCACTGAAGAGCATCATTGCTGCTCTCCACCTGAGACAGATAATCACGAAAAACAAAAAGTTACTCCATCTCCTCTGTAGGGGATGTCAGCTAAAATGCAAAGGGAAATAAACGATCCCCTTCAGAGGCATGATAAGTTGCCATTTGAATCCAATAAATAATGTGTTATAATGCAGTGGTGATGTGGGGAACCAGTAGCTAATGGTTTTGTGGTGGAAGTGAGATACCTCCCATGGCACCTTCTCCTCAGGCACAGGAAACGTGTGAGTCTGCTGTTAGGATAGTGGAGCTGACGGGCTCACATGGTTTCTGTCCTCTTTCTCTGATGGATCTATCAGAGTCTCAGTAGACTCGTCTGCTGCACTCCAAGCTGCAGGGAAGGATTAAAGTGAGCGAGAACAAGAGGAGATACGCCCTGCGATATGTTAACATCCATATTGAGTGAGGAAGTTTTGTGCTGACTTGGCGGTTGTGCTTCTTTTGCTGCAAAACCCTGACTTTTCAAACTGTCCATAATCCACTGCAGGGCTTTGGCTGACTGGCAGGCCTAGTGAGAGTAATTAAAAGTGGGTCAAGCAACATGACAACAACGTGACATCTTAGAGCAAAGTGAAGATTATCAATTTTTCCACCAACATCCGGGAAGACATTTAAACAGGTTACAAAGTGTGTCATCTCTTTTGTGCATCGTGACATCTCCCACGCACAGCGGGAGATGTCACAAACACAGGTCCGACATCAGTGATGAGCAAATATGGAGTCACAACCTGCTCCTCTAGTCCAGCCAGTCTTTGCACCACGGCAGCAGAACTCGTCTCCTCTTCCCTCTCCAGCCGATCGGCTATGGTGGTAACCCTCAGGAAACAGACAAGAACAGTGTGGGAGTCTGATATTTTGTTAGACCTTATATAGTCTTTGTGTTTAGGCAAAGTATTAATAGGTTTTGTAACTTTACAAACTAAAATATATTAAGGCGTGGCGTGTTGCCTCACGTGGACAGGCTGTGGACGCAGTTACACTAGAGGACATTTCTGTGGGATTACTTTTGAAATGTGTCCAGGATGCGTTGCTCCATGCTCTGGTTCTTTTTCTGCTTCGTGGACAGCAGGTATCTGTCCTTCATCAGGGCCTCCCAGGACAACAGCTCCTCTTCCTTCATCTGTAACTTACTCTCTAAAAGAATACAGCGTCACATACTTTTTAATACTATGATACTGTGAAGGGGTCACAGGTCGTCGGATTAATGGAGAAAGGACAGTGGTTGCGATCTTCCCTCATCAACAAAAATTCCAATATCAGGCAAAAATATATTGACATGTGAATCTTATTCGGAGACGGCCGAATCAACTCAACCCTTTGATGAGGACCGTGAGATGTGCTTGAAAGCTTGAGAAAATCTCCATATAGCACATTTTGAGATTGTGTTTATTATTCTTATTTGTTTTCTCAATCCCTTATTATTCAAAATCTAATAATAAACCTTTGCGCTCTGGTCAGAGAACAGTTCAATGTTTGTTATGCCAAAGCAGATCAGGGGATAAGATTTGACCATCACGACAGAAATCTGGTTTATAAATGGAGTTATTGGAGTTAAAAAATCTACAAGAGTGTTACTCTATCAGCTTTTTAGCAGAGCGATACAATTAGAAAAAAAAAGTCTGAAACATATTGCCACAAAGCCTTCTTATAAATAAGTCCATACTTACTAGACTCCTCACTTATGATGGAGGCCTTTATTGGAAACATGTTGCGAACAAAGAGGTAAAAATGGCTGAAGATGATGAAAGGAGGAGGGGCGGCTGGGCGGCTGTGGTACTCCTGGATCAGCTCGTATCTTTGAAACTTCCAAATTCTGTCTGTGTTGTCCTGAACGGTCTGGAACGTAAAGCTGTGCAGGAACACAAAGAGATAAAGAGGACGACGAGGACACACGGCTACAAAGTAGTATTATGGTGCAGAAAGAAGCTCAAATTGTGATTAAGATAGGGAGATGTGGAGGAGAACTCACTTGAAGATGGCTATGAGCAAGTTGAGCAGCAGTATGTTGGCAAAGAGCAAGTAGACACACAGCATGATGATGGTGAGCCACTCGGGGAAGGCTGGAGTTAGGTTTTCATTCAGCACAGGACACTTTGGCTTCAGAGGATCGGTGCCATTCATGCTGCAGGAGTCCAAATCAAATGCAGCATCTGCAGAGGGCAAAGAAATTGTTTTTCTTCACAATAATATTTTAGTCAAACAACCAGGCCCGAGCTTTGAAATGTGAGTAATTATCTCTCGAATTAACTCACAGTCAATATTTGTGGGAAAATCCCCAAATATGATGCGATACGGCTCATATATTGCCCCGCGAACAATCCAGCCCAGCCGGTTGTCGTTGTGGATGAGGATGCCCTGTTTGGCCACTCCGTACGCCACCACCCAGATACTCAGCAGGAACATGAAGAAGAACATATCCGTCATCTGGAAGGACCAACACACATCACTGACATGTGAGGATGTACAGGAGACTTCCTTCTTGTATAGTTAACAGTGAAAGTTTCACTATTGAAAGAGGTTACCCTGTTGCTCTGCATGTACTCTGTGCACAAACAATAATGACTTTTGACTATCTGAAAACAGACCAGCTGCAACCCTTGGCTCAAAAACACCTTTTATTTAGCATTAAAAACATCTGCAGACAGCAGCTGGAAGGCCAGTGAGGCAGAAACCTCCCTTTGTATCAGATAAACGGTGTTTGCAAAGCATAGTGGGTCTCTGTAGTTGCTCCCACATGATATCAGGTCAGCATTCGTAACCTTTGTACGTAAGCCTCTCACCATCCTCCTGACTATGATGATTTTGGGTCCCAGGGTACTGCTGATAGTGAAGATGGCCATGAACCGGAGGCAGAAGACCACAAAGTCGATGCAGAGGAGGATTTTACCCGCGTAGAACAGCTCAGTTGTCAGCCTGAAATAGAGAAACTTTGCGATTTAGAGGAGAGTGGTGCACTTCTATTGCCTCAATTGATTGTAAGGGAGGAATGAAACCTACCTAAATGTGAGGCCAATAGCAAAGAGAATGATGGACAGAACATCTAAAATATTCCACAGGTCGTTGATGTACATCTTGGCTTTCTTATGAAACCCAAAGCCATCAGGATCATATAACACCTGAGGCAGAAAACGCACATTGCATTTGTCAGTTAAGCAAAGTGGTGGTATGAATATTTCTTAGAATGGGGAACCCTCGGAAGGCAGCATCCAGCTTGTGTCTCGCTCACCTGCCTGACCTCCTCGCACACCAGTGAGAGCAGCCAGACGTAAAGCAGCATCTCCCCAGCAGAGGGCGTAGCCTGGAAGTCAATCATCACCACCACAGCATACAGGAAGAGGAAGGCAAAGGAAGACACAACATTCCAGTAAAACTTGACCTGCGGAGAGCTGTACAGATGGACCAGCCGGCTCCGGCAGCTCAGAGGCTTCTGGCGCTCCGGGTCGGGGGAGTCACTGTGGAGAGAACGGCCACTGGAGGGTCAGAGACATCTAGCACAAGCTTTACCCCAATTGATCTTCAACATCTCTACTTTCACAAGGAGAAAAAGGTCAAATATGAAGATGTGTACAAACTCTCATACCGAGACACTCTTACGCGTACTAATGAAACACTCGTTCGCTCGGGAGTAAATTGTTATGAAGGCTGACCAACCGACCGCAGGAATGAAACAACTAACTTCTTGTCTGAAAAGTCCTAAAATTACTTTCCGTGACTTAACTATAGTAGTATTTATAAACTTGGACCTACACAAGGACTCACAAATCTTGAAAGCATATTAAGGAAGGGCGTAAGTTTGTCCCTTTTTGCTGTTCAAAACCTGCCCTCCATGCTTAACCCCAACCCACTAGTCAGATGCTCTTACATGCACTGGTGAGATTAGTCGTATGAATACATCTGAAACGCTTGCATATTTATCTAAATTTGTTATATCTTATATCTTTCAATCATATCTAAGAGATTCAGTTACAACCTTTTCATATGTGCATGCATGAGTGTTTCAGATACATACGTATGAATGAATTTCATATGTATGTGTTTATGACACAGCAGTATACATGTATGCGCGTGTGTTTCTCGTGTAAGTGTTTCAGATGAGTATGTATAATGTTTTATATATGCACATGCATAGGTTTACAGAGCATATGTGTACGTGTAAATGTCTCAGTAGTCTGTGGTGTGTGTGAGAGCATTTTAATAGCGAACGTAAGTGTTTTATTAGTACGTGTAACAGTGTCTCAATAGTTAGTCCGAAACATCATTGACTACTATGTGACCATTTAAAACACCGGCCGGGCCGACTCCAACAAGAGGTCTGCTCTCATAGTTTCACACATGTAACAGATCGACTCACCTGAACGCCAGAAAGCCGGTGTAGATGAGTGGAAAGAAGACCATGCAGATCAGCACTCTCCACACGGGGTTGTCCACTGAAAGCCCACCGCACCAGATCTGCGTCAGAAGAGCCTTCAAGACAGACCTTTAATCAGCAATCAATGTTTTGTTTTTTGGTACACTAATAACATCTGGATTCAACGTTGACTGTTCTGGGTCACGGTGCAGATAGATGGCAAAGCATACGAGTGTTTTATAATAGGGACGTTTTCCCAACCTGAACGCCCGACTGAGCTACAAAGCTTTTATCGTCAGCCTCCAGGGCCAACCTCAGGCACGTGGTCCTCCCCCAAGACGGAGACACGCAAACCAACAGCTTACGGGCCCGCTCTTCATCGTTGTCGTGGCACTCGCTGAACACACCTGTGAAACGCACACAACGAGGCCCGTGCTGAACTTGTGACGTCTCACGTCAGTAAAGTGGTTTCTGAGGTACTCTACCAATGGCGTGATCCTCAAAGTGACTGGCGAGCTCCCGCATGTCCTCCGCCTCGTCCGCATCACTTTCCTCCTCGGCCATCGTCTTCAGGATCTTACTGGCGGCCAGAGCGGCGGACATGCAGTCTTTGCACTGTGCACGGGCAGATACAGAAAGATGCAACACCATGCATGCATACTTCCAAACACACACACAAACATACATGTACATGCAAATGGGTATTTTCAGTTTAACAGTAAGAGATTTAATCACCAACTCCCAGGCAACTTCAGCCAGCTCTTTGTTGTTCTGGACTACAGCCCACAGGAAAAGGTCTCTGTCGGGGTTCCCCTGTGCATCCATATTGTTCTCCCTGAGTTGCATTTGAGAAGCCATTGAACCTTTGGACAGCTAGATTAAAAGGAATTAATATGTTGCATTAAATTAACGGTTACACTTCTGTGTCTAAAATACCAAAACCCTACATTGATTACAAGGTACGTACGTTGAAACCTTCTGACGGATAAACAAACTCACTGATACAGATGTGTCCTCTGTAAGCATTTCGAACTGACATGACATGTCGGCGGGTGGGTAGAGGAGCTTGGTGAAACTGCCCAGTAGGTGGCGCACCTCATTGGACACATGAGTCATGAAGGTTGTTTCACCTCGACCCGGGCGAGCTTGAGGTTTGCGGCCGAGTCTCTGGACCCGCTTGTCCAGCTTGCGGACGAAGATGCAGCCGGGCATCTTTCTGTAGAGGTCGCACAGAGTCTCCTCGTCTTTCAGGAAGTCTTTCAGGCTCACGCCGTTCTCCAGCAGCAGACTGACAAACTGGGGCTTGTTGCCGACCAGGGCTGAGAACATAGCCCAGTGGAGGTCGCTGGACTTGACGTGAACGTGACAGGAAAACACAACAGGTGTGTTTTCAGAGAATCTTCTTTATTTGATGCAGAAAAGTTGGATTGTTGAGGTTACAATATAAAAAGTTAGACAATTATGTAAATTGAATTTAATGGCAGTGTGGAGAGAAAGACAGTATTTTATCATACTACTCATGATTTTATAATGCAATAGTCTATTTCTCTTAATATCATACAATATTTTGTATACACGAAATGGGTTCATGCTGCTATTAGTTGAAATCTGTTCACCACCCAAGCGTTTTGCTTCTTTAAACGATGACTGCGAAACGGGTCAATTGCGGGATCACCTTCCATACCTAATACATTAACTTATCTTAATAAAGAAGACCAGGGAGGTTCAGTTCTGACAGTCTTACAAAGATTGCTGCTGTTGCAGGTGTTTCAGTGTGTTGTGTTAGAGGCAATCTCACCTTCCACTGGCTCTCCTCAGTGAAGATCTCCGTCTCAGCTAAGTCCACCCGGTTCCAGGCGATAGCCAGCTCCAGCTGCCCTTTCCAGCTCTCGATTCCCAGTCTCTCGCTGGCCCTCGAAGCTGAGTGGAGAATATGTAGTGAAAAGATTTATCTCAGACGGAATTCTGTTTTCATTTTGAATTATTCAATTAGAGCTATATGGGAAGATAAATGGCATCAATCCTAAAATTCAAAGAGCTGGAATTAGTTTGTAGTCTAAGACTGATTTATAATCATAATCAACAAATGAATGAATGTATTTATTCTGTGACGGGACCAGGGATCACACCGCAAGTTCAAGCAGCAATTATCTTAAAATTGGCAGCAAAATTCTAACAAACTTGGAACTTGGCCTCAAACCAAAAAAGACAGAGGATGTCCTCACCCGAGACGCCGCAACGGGGCGGGCAACCCAGGCAATTACCGAGGGCCCAAAGCTGAAGGGGGCCCCGAGGGACGGCTGACGTTATTGACAAAACAATGGAACTGCTTTAGACGCTGCAACGACAACGCATCTGAAATGCCCCACGCAGGGCCCCTTTTTGTCACCGGCTAGTTGCTAGTAAGGGCCCCCGACAGACGACTGATATGGCTCCATATCAGCAGCACAACTTGAACCCCTCGAAGACACTGCAACGACACGTCGGAAATCTCCCCAATGGGGCCCCCTTACTAGCGTCCATCGACGTCCGGTCCCAGTCAAACACACAGATGACAAAATGAAGCGAACATATCTCTCTGGGCTTGTACCAGGTTAATGTTGTGAGCAAGCTGCTGCAAAGTCCAGATGTTTCTCTGGAAACTCTAAGCATTGCATTGCGTCTCCTCTTGACTCTTCCTGTCTCTGTTGCCTCTGGTGAGAGGAGCTTTTCTGCTTTGAAGTTGATCAAAACCTATTTGAGGTCAACCATGTGCCAGGAGAGGCTGACATGGCACTGAGTTCAATGTAAAGAGATGTTCGGAGGTCGTTAGATAAGGAAGACATGATGGCTGCATTTGCAGAAGCCAAGGCCTGCTAGCAGTAAAAAAGAGGCACTACAACTGGACTGTGGATATAGGACCAAGGTGTCACAGCAAGTCATAAATTCTTCCTTTGCACTTCAATTCCTTGTTTGTTTGTTTGTTTTTTTGCTTAGTTGCGTTTTTATCATTTTGAAGTTTGCACATTTCAGTTTTGTTTGTTTTTCTGTTATTTAAATGTTGTGTGTAAAGTTTGCATTCAGATAGTTATGTTATTGATTATTTATTTTTATATGTTAATTGTTTAATAAAAGATTTTTTTACTAATCCGTAGTCCTGGATTTCATTTATCATGATTCTGGGGTGCCCCATGGTCCTTCTTGCCTAGGGCCCCCAGGGGGTCTAGAAACGCCCCTGGTCATCACTAAGTGAGTAGAACGACTGACCGGAGATGCATTTCAATTCCTCCATTGTTAATAGATTTAAAAATTGGAAATTACAAGCAGAGCAGTTCAGCTGTGGGAATAAATGTAGAATTGTAGAGTCATTGCATCAGTCAGTATAGTTTTCTTTTAAGATATACATTAAGAGCGCTCAATATGTTTCTCAAGATCAGTATAAGGATGAAACCTTTCATATTGTGTATGAATAGATTACGTGTGGCTGTCAGTGCCTTGTTGTTTAGAAAAGCAAGAGCTTTAGCTGAAAGAAGAATATCAGATTTTTCAGTCTTGATTTCGACACATTTGCTGTCGCACTCCATTCGATTAGTCGGCTGAGAAGCAACATTATACTTTCTAATAGCTGCTTTGGCACCAAGCCTCCTCGTTTGTGTACTTACTGCTGTGTTGTACGCATGTAGTCAGTCTAGACTTGTACAGAGACTTTTGTAAAAACAAAACAAAAAAAACCATACCTTTGAGCAGGGCTTGGAGTATAGCCACATCCACATCTCTGTGATTATCCTCGCTTATTCTGAATACTGTCAGCAAGTGAGAGATCTGGATGATGTACTGAATCTGGCACAGATTGGAGACACAAAGAGTTAAGGTTTCACATCAGACCTGGAGACCCATGCCGGGGGATCTTAGACAGTTGGTCATACGAAAACGTCTCCGTTAAGGTATTACGGTCCTTAATCGAGAGAGAGCAGAAAACAGGAGAGGACCTAAAATTAAACCTTGTGGCACACCACAAGTGAGCTTTTGTATCAAATCCAGCTGTCCAATAACAGTAAACAGTTAAGAGATCCTCATGGTAAACTTAGTAGTAAACTGTAGTAAGATGGAAACAGTAGTGTGGAAAGTAGTCTAATTGTTGAGGTCAGTATGTTCATATACCTTCTCGGTCCATTTTATGATCTTGCAGTCTGAGAAGTTTTCATACTCTTGGCCAAAGAACTTTTTCATTAACTGCTGAATGAGGGCGATGGTGACCTGGAACAATGGCAATCCTGCCACTTGAGCAATCACATCAGCTATTCTCCCAGAGCCCTCCAAGATCACACACGGTGTCCCGTTCAGCATGGCGTTATAAATGGTCTGAGAAGAGACACACAAGACTGTCGGACAAAGACTGAGAGAGCGAGAGACAGACAACTGATTCACTCACATTTAGGGTGCCTGGTCCTCCATCCAAAACCACACACACCACGGGGATTGTGACGCCACTCTCTGGAAGTAAGACAGTAGAACGATAAATTTTAAACAGATTTAAGATTTTAACTGCGACATTGCATCAGCTGATTTTGACCTCTGTTTCCGAGAAGCTTTCCGGAGATGCATTTTTCCAGACTGCTACGCAATTCAATCTCCACTCCGTAGTTCCCTTGGGTCCCATCATCCACCATCAGGAAGTGGGTGTGGTTGTTATCAAGGCAAGAGAGTCGGCCCTGGCCCTCGATGTCCAGCTCGTAATTGGCTGGAAAACAACCCTGCAGACATGAAGAAGAGAGAGATGTGGGAAAAAGACTTGTGCCATGCAGGTGATGAATCGCGTTAAAAAGATGAGGCGAGTACCTCTGGATTCACTAAAGCATCCCTGTTGTGAATTATTCCCCACGTTGCAACTCCAATAGCCACAATCTGGCCCTGCATGGAGCTGCTCAGTGCGTGGTCCCTCACGGCCCGCCCAACATGCTTCATCACACCAGCGTGCGTACCCCCAGTGATGATCCACGCTCCTGGGTACAGCATGGGCACAACCACCAGTCACATGTTAAATCAGTGAGCGTTAGACAGTGCCGGGGGGGAAGATAATATTATCTTTTGAGAGAGTCAGGCTAACTGTCTTCCCTGCTTCCATTCTTTATGCTATGCTAAGCTAACTGGTTAAAGCCTCTTATACAGCAGACAAGTAGGAAAATTGTTGTTTGAATTGTAGGAATGATGGCTGGCATCTTTAAGTACACACAAGAACACACTATATAAAGTATTTGGTATACATGCCAAATCCCAAATACTTTATGCACTTAGAAAGTGAGCAGTGGAAGATTAATGAGCGGGTAATGAGGAAACACTGCACTTTAAATAGCACTAGGTAGTAGGAGGATTGGACCTTTGGGGCGTATATGGTGCATTTTACCACATGCACACACACCCTAACCCTAACCCTCTCCATTAATTCCCCATGTACCAAGTAAAACACATGCTCACACACACTGTGGCTAATGATTGGTGCTCCTTTGAGGTCTAAAGCTCACCTGTTGTCTGGGCCACTTTGATGAGACCTCTGTGGAACATGCTCTTGAGACGAGGTTTGAGATAGAAGTTCTTGGCTCCTCCGGTCACTGAGATCAGCAGGTTGGGAGGGGAAAGTTTCCACTGTTCGGTCAGTAACTTGTACAGGATTTCCGGGCTTGTGTCTGTGGACACTCGTGCATACTGGGAACGCCGGACAGATACAAAGGCCAGTTTGAAAACGCAGGAACACATTCACATGTAATGTCATCATAGAAGAAGGATGGTGTCACCTTGCCAGTCTTCTGTCCCGAACCACCAAAGCTGATGTCTCCAAAAGCATCAGTGGGAACTTCACGCACGTGTCTGTCTTTGTTCCAAGACTCGCCTGTGAAATTGTCTGGCTTGATAGCTTCATCCACATGATCAGTCTTTGGGTGGCCACACTTGCATGCATCCTCTCTGGTGGAGAAACAAAAGCTACCACTTGAAACATTTTCCTGTAGACGGACAGTTTGAGTAATTACCCCGAAACAACAGACTGATTTAAATGATGCAACCGCCCTCACAGCTATTCGGGACGATGCCTCCCTGCACAATAACACAACGGAGGACGGACGCCAGCAGAAATCTACAGTCAGAGCAGCTCATCATACCTGACACCTTTTTCGTAGAAGCAGCATTCCCTCTTACGGATGTTCTCCTTGATCCAGGACGTAAAGGAGGAAGGCTGAAAAGAAGGGGAGGGAGAAATGTTCTTCGAAGCTCTGACTGTCCTGATTGAAGGAAACCGCTTGGACTTAATAACAGCTTCCTCCATCCTGAATGATGGTGGAGGGAAAATAGTGCACAGTTTTGTCTCGGCCTGAGAGCACACAGCATGAGAGGAGAGAGGAGGCTCTGCAGTCAGTGCCGCCTCACTCAGCAATGCATCAGTGATGTCAGAGGCCGGCAGACTGCTGAGACCGGATTAAATGTTGTTTCCGGCAAGTAGCAAGAGTGCCAGTTCTGGATCGATAGAGAAGATCAAGCTGCATTAGAGAGAGGATGGATGAAACGCCCCATTAAGGAATCCATTGTGTGTTTAGTTAATGATTCTAATATTATTAGATAAAAAATGTATTGTACTTAAAACAGGTGAATATAGTTCAGTTTTTTTATTACATTTACAATAGTATCCAGTTATGAAAAGTAGCTAAGGGCATTTATTTGTTAAGTACCGTAATCACGTGGATTTGAGGTATACTTTCCATTTAATTGTACCTTATTTTCTCTATTGCAATTTTCACAGGATAAATGTGCATTTGACTCCACTGCTTCTGCTTAGCCTCAGGAATAAATGATGACAGGGACCCTTTTCTAAAATAAGTATTACACAGTATATAGTGTGATAAACACGGTTTGAGACAGGAAAACACTCACCGCTGGGATTTGTTGAGGATTGCTCTGCCGTTTAGGCATCATTTCTGAAGAAATAACAAAAAAAGTCCAGTTGAAACCAACCGCTTGGAAGAAGTGCTTCATGGGGAGGAAGTTTTAAGGGCCAAATCCCAGTTGTTTCTAGTCAATTATGGACTTTGAATCTAGAAAGCTTGCAGAGCCTGACACATGTGACCTGTTCTGCATTGTCTGGACTTCCTCTACTGAGGCCCTGGTTGAAAAGTCTCAACCAAAACAATACAAATATTTAAAGTCTACACAAACATTCAGTTATCAGATACTGTAGTGGCAATACATCCATTGAGATCCTAAATGTTAAACTGTTAAGGGGTTTGTTGAGTTAAACTCTGGAGCAGAACACTGCGGCCAGTCCGGCCGCTAATACAACGTCAAAGAATCAGCAGGCTCAAGTTTAAAAATTAAGAACAGAAGCAGGTACAGTAAGAAAGTGAATTACACTAAGAATAGTGTAATATTTTGCAAAATAGATAACCTCCTCCTCCCCAGCCCATTTGACTAAATACAGTAAGTGTGGATTTCTGAAGATTCTGCCTTGGCAGAAGTTCAGTCTTTCTGCATCTAATATCAAAACATGTCCTACATCATCATATTTCATAACATCATATTTGTCACGGTGTGGTTCACTTCCTGTCTTATTTTGTAGTTTTCTGCCACTCGTGTCCCCGGGTAACTTCACTCCCTGCCTTGTCCTGTCATCCCCTGTGATCGTCTAATAGTTTCCACCTGTGTCCAATCACCTGCACCTCCCTTGTGTATTTAAGCCGTGTGTCTCTTGTGTCACTTGTCGCGTCATTGTCTATCGTCGTGGATGTTCGTAGTTCCTGCCTGCTGTTTTCCCCCTGGGTCCTGTGTGTTTTTTGCCTTTTGACTATTAAAGTCTTTTGTTTTCCGAGAAGTCTGAGTCCTGCCTCCCCCAAGCATCCTTGACAATATTTTACCCATTTATATAATCTAAAAAGAACAAAGTTGCCTCGCAGTGCTGTCGTATCTGTACACCCACGGCATCCTCTGTTCCCAAACTTGGACCTGACGCAGAACAAAAACTCCCTCAAAAACTATTCAATGGTGATGAAATAGGGAAGCAGTCCTTGAGCAAGCCCCAGAGCTTCACAGCAGCACACGGCTCCTTAACTACTAAGGATGGATAAAAGCCTGAGAATAATTTCACCATAAATAATATGCAGCAATAGCAATAATAATTGCTATTTTATAATAGCAATAATAAAAGATATATAATATATATAATATATTTTTTAAATCTACGTTTCCCGCGCCCCACCACAGGGTTGCGCCCCACACTGAGTTAACTACACCTCACATCTCCCACATCCTGGAGCTCATTGTTAAGAAGGCTCAACGTGGACAAACCGACCACAGAAATGTGAGGTTTGTCCACATGAGGATTAAACAACTAACTTCTCGCCTAAAAAAGTCCTAAAATGACTGTATGTGACTTAATATAACGTTACTAGTATTTAGAAACATTCGACTTTCAGTTGACAGTTGTTGTCTGTATCTGCGGTGAAATGCATTCTTGGATATTTGGTTCTCACAAGAACGGGTTTGCTCCGATGCGTCCTCGGCAAGTCCTTTCCGGGAAAATAGGTTATTCTAAAACGGGCCCTTGGCAGGCGGCGTGGCTGGAGAGCAGCCGAAGATTTAAGGCGTGGATGGCGAGGGGGGCGGCGGGAGCGGACGCACCTTGAGCATCGATCGGACCCTGAAAGCACATACTGTATGTGCTACTGGGCCGACAGGTGAACGGGTGAGGAGGACAATGAGAATGAGACACGAAAAAGACAGGGTCACAAGTAGCAGCAAGATACGCCGACTTCCTCCCGGACAGCCCCCCACCGGCCTGGCCCTCCCTCTGTCTCCTTGTCCATGCGTGTCCCTGTCTCCTTGTCGGCTCGTTAGTCCATGATGGGTGGTCTTTTGGTCTGACTCGTTGGTCCGTTTGCCGGTAGACATTTTGTATTCTTACTTTAAAATAAAGTATTTCTGCTTTGGAGTCCTTCTTGTCCTGGACTCCCCCGGTACAGACGTAGCAGCACACAGGTGCCACTAGGTGTCCCTCTTCTCCACCCCGTGGAGACAGGTCGGTCCACAGGTGAGCACGCTGGAAACGTCTCCGTTCATCGAAAGCTTTCTTGCGGATGAACAACAGGTTTCAGAGGTAAATGTGTATTTTTATGCAAATAAAAAGGTTTTGTATCCGTAGAAAGGACCCAAATGAAGTCATTAGTGTGTGTTTGTAGGTTCCATTCTAATTCGAAATACACTTTGTAGTTCATATTGCTTTGTAATGTGTTGTAAGTTCTTTGTTTTGGTTCTTTCTACTTTTTTATTCAGGCGGAAGTCTTCCCTGTTAATTGTGTCCCTTTCATCCGTCTACTTTAATAATAAGAACCCTGTACTGCTATGATGTTGCTGCTCTTCCTCTTCTCCTTTTACAAATTATTATTATTGTCTCTTTTGGAAGGTTATTCTTTTGTTTCAGTTTTAGTTTATTTAACTGATCCTTTCATCCAGAAAGGCAGAACGCTGCGTTAGCTTCTGGTTTATTTACCGTTCCTGATTGATTCCCATCTGTTAATAAATAAACATTAATATAGTGGAGAGAGGGGACCTGTACGACCTTCTGGTGCAGCGCTGATGAGCTCACAGCGGTTCGTCTGGTCCTCTGAGGTCTGTACTGGAGAACATGATGTTTCTTTGGTGTTTCCTCTACTTCCTCTCTGCAGAGCCCTCTGACGTCACCTTGTGTTGCCATTTTAGCAAAGATGATGCTTTTAGAACCTGGAGTCACATGACCTGGAGGTGTTGGACTGATCCGAGGCCTTAGGATAAAATATTAATTATAAAAGAATAGGGAATATTTATGTTTACTTTATGTTTATGTTTATATTTACTGATCAGATATTATTCATGGGATTTGCTGCAACCAAAAGAGAAGAAGATTTTAGGAAAGAAAATCTTAAAAGGGCACCAGGGAGTCATGTGGCCGAGGCCATTACTTTAAATAAACTGCCATCTTATCCAGACTCTGGTTTGAACTTTTCACCTCGGTTGAAGACACATGGAAGTTATGAAAAGATGAATTTGTTTTCTTCAGTTTATTCAATGCCAGTATAATCGGTGTGAGCTCAACAGACGTTGTGAGTCTTTCATGTAAGTGTGAGAATATCCGGGCGATCGAAAGCATGAATGCCTTATTGTCATTATTAACAGAGCAGTGATTGAGACCATTCAAGTGATAATGATCCACTTTATGAATTAACCCTGGCTAAACAGTTGACACGTGTCATCATTTGTTTGTACAATATATACAGAACGTTACTTATTTACAATTGATTGACCACTTTTTATTTAACAGTGTTTGTGGGCCATGAACAATACATTACAAGACCAGTTATGGGCCCCCGGGCCACACTTCTGACCGCCCTTGGGGACATTTACTTTTTTTTAATGTTGTGTTTAAATTGAGGAAGAACGGTTTAATCTGCTGCTGAATAAAAGCTTTTATTTGTTTAGTGCTTGCACAAATAAATGTACACTCGTTTTGAATTATCACATCATCTAAACCTATTTCTAAATAAAGGTATTACAGCTGTTTGAGACAGACGTATTACAGGGAAACAAGCCCCGCCCACTCTTTTGTGGGGACATTTCTTTGCTGTTGTTGTGACGTTGGCAGAAGAGCAGGGCGTTGTTTGTAAACAGTCAACATGTCAGGATGCATCATGTGCGACTGACACGAGAACAAGGAATGTGCTCAGGCTGTGAGACAAAAGACATTAGAAAGACATTCAGAGACCCACAAAGAGACACATCAGACAAGGCTTGTTTATGGTTGTTTTGTGTCTTTTGGTGATTGGTCCCTTTTTATAGTCTTTGACTCTTTGTATCTTTTTGGCGTCGCTTTGTGTCTCTTCATAGTGGTTATGGTCTTTCTCTAGAAGCTTTGAGGCTCTTTGTAGTCAAGTATTTTATGTTTTTTTGTCTCTGCTATTGAAGAATCTTGAAGAAAAGTAGAATCGAGAAGTTCATAATATTTACACCTTTCAGCCGATTTAGATTCATGAAACGTTCTGAATTTATCTAAACTTTTATGGCTTATTTTACATCTGCCTATTTTCATCTAATAATCTAGTCGATTCCACATGTTTTAATTGTTTTTAAATGATGTTTAAAATCTGTTTCTTTTGCACTCTATCATTTGATGTTCTATTTGATGCGACTTGAACTGACTTTTAATTACATATTAAGCATTGACGTTTGGTGGATGAGTGACAATCATTAAAAGATTCCAGAAACTAGAAAAACTAGTCGACAACCTACCTCTCCATCCCTTGATTGCTCTTGTTGCTTAGCAAAAAGAACGTAAATCGGCAGACTGTAGGTGTGTGTGTGTTTGACGTCTGGGATTCTGCCTCTCCTCCAGTGACTCGGCTCCGAGGCATTTCTGGGAGCGGTG